AATTTCCTGACAGTTAGAACAATTAATCAATGGAACAGCTTGCTTCCAGAAGTTGTGAATGCTCCAACTCTGGAAGTCTTTAAGAAGATGTTAGATAGCCATTTGTTTGAAGTGGTGTAGGGTTTCCTGCCTAAGCAGGGGGTTGGACTAGAAGACCTCCAAGGTCCCTTCCAGCCCTGTTACTCTGTCATTCTGCATTGTCCTTTTCCTCTAATGTCCTACTTCTTCCTTCCTTCAGACCACCTACAAGGGAAAATCATCCTTCCAGACTTATGTTGACTATCGCGGAATAAATTTAATTAAACTATGTCTAGTTTAATGAAAAGAAGAAGAACCAGGGGAGACATGATAGCAGTGTTCCAATATCTCAGGGAAGAAGAGGGAGTCAAGCTGTTCTCCAAGGCACCCGAGGGAAGGACAAGAAGCAATGGGTGGAAGCTAATCAGGGAGAGAAGCAACCTAGAACTAAGGAGAAATTTCTTAACAGTGAGAGCAATTAATCAGCGGAACCACTCGCCACCTGAAGTTGGGGGTGCTCCATCACTGGAGGCTTTTAAGAAGAGACTGGACAGCCACTTGTCTGGAATAGTATATTTCTTCTGTCCTCACTCACAGTTCTGCTTGAGAAGGGGGCTGGACTAGAAGACCTCCAAGGTCCCTTCCAGCTCTGTTATTCTGTCATTCTGCCTTGTCCTTTTCCTCTAATGTCCCACTCCTTCCTTCCTTCCTTCCTTCCTTCCTTCCTTCCTTCCTTCCTTCCTTCCTTCCTTCCTTCAGACAACCTACAAGGGAAAATCATCCTTCCAGACTTATTCCGACTATCGCAAATGGGAAACCTTCCTTCAAGAGCAGATCCGGCAGTTTCCGGAAGGATCCTCGCTACGCCGCGGTTTTCAGACCTGTGAGCATTGGAAGCAGATCTTCATGGAAATCATAGGTGAGTGATAGGATCAGAATGAGAAGTAAGTATGATTTATTGTTACTAGCAAATGTGCTTATTAAATAAATGTATTTGGCCCTTTAGCACATAGTGACTTCATGCAGCTTGCAACATGTTGGGGCTAAGAGAGGGAGGGTGAAATCTTAAATACAGTTAGAGTAAACCCCCTGTTACTCCTGAACATGGATGGAGTGCATATCCCACGACTCCTGATCATTGCTGTAGAACAGGGATAGGGCCCTTTTATGACTTGCGGACTTCAATTCCCAGAATTCCCCAGCCAGCATGTCACCAGCCACAAGTCCGCAAGCATAGCAAGCTGGGGAATTCTGGGAATTGGAAGTCCACAAGTTATAAAGGGGCCATAGTTCCCCACCTCTGCTGTAGAGCATGTATCTCCAAACTTGGAAACTTTATGTCTTGTGGACTTCAACTCCCAGAATTCCTCAGCCACAAGTCTGCAAGCATGGCTACCTGGGGACTTCTGGGACTTGAAGTCCACAAGTTATAAAGGAGCCAGTTTCCCACCTCTGCTGTAAAACAATGGTCTGTAAACTTGGCAACTGTAAGACTTGTGGACTTCAACTCCCAGAATTCCCCAGCCACAGGTCCACAAACATGGCGGGCTGGGGACTTCTAGGAATTGAAGTCCACAAGTTATAAAGGGGCCATAGTTCCCCATCTCTGCTGTAAAGCAAGAGCCTCCAAACTTGGAAACTTTATGACTTGTAGACTCCCAGAATTCCCTAGCCACAGGTCCACAAGCATGCCTGGGGAATTCTGGGAATTGAAGTCCCCAAGTCTTAAAAGTTGCCAAGTTTGGAGACTCTAGCTGTAGACAAATGACCGAAAGAGATGGGAGCCATTAGCCAAGCAAAGGGGGCTGAAACATTATTTAAATCATCCTGGGCATCCCCGGGAAGCAAGATAAGTGCCTCTCTGATTGACAGGGCGTAGAGAAGGAGGGGAGATCAGCACGATGAGGCTTGCAAGAGTCCATCAGGTGTAGTTTTGGTCTTCCTGTGGAGTGGATTTCCTAGCCTGGCTGTGTTCCCTCTGCTGGGTCCTTTCCAAGCTGATTCAGACGGTGACGAATGAATCCTTAGGTGTACTATAAGTAGGATTCTTTTCCTCTATTCCTATTCCCTATTCCTGCCCCCCCCCAAACAGCTCCAGAAAGTAAGTTGGTTCTCCCCTAGTGAGAGATGCTTCTGTTTCTCCTGCCTTTTGACCTCTGCATCACTGAGCCCAAATCTCTGCCTCTTGTAGGATGAAGAGGGAAACAGATCTGCTTCTCCCAAATTCTGGGGCAATTGCACATCTCTCCCCCTTTTCATGGTGCAGAGTGTGAGAGTGTGGGGTGTGTGTGTGGCCTTGGTTCTAGATTGCTTCTCCCCTTGGTTAGTTTCCAAGAATGGATGGAAATTCATCAAGGGGAGAAACAATTTGGGATTAAGGAGAGACTCCCTAACAGTGAGAACAATTAACCAGTGGAACTGCTTGCTACCTGATGCCCTGGGTGCTTCATCGCTGGACCTCCAAGGTCCCCACCCCAACTCTGTGATTCTATGATTCTGTAACGGTCTCTTCCTTGAGCAGGGGGTTGGACTAGATGACCTCCAAGGTCCCTTCCAACTCTGTCCTTCCTTGATGATTCTTGCTCTCTCTTTTCTCCTCTCTGTCTCTCTTCCAGGCGTGCAAAGTGCCCTTTTCGGCCTCATCCTTTCCCTGGTGATCTGCATTGCCGCTGTCGCCCTTTTCACCACTCACCTTCTCCTCCTGCTTCCTGTCTTGCTCACCATTTTAGGTAAGGGCGCTCTGTCAAAACCTCCTTGCCTCACCCCATCCCAACTCTCTTCTATTCTTGTGTGCGCAGGAAGGAGTCCTGTTTTCTTTTTTAAAAAAAAAATTCACTTGGATATCAGAGCAAGCAGCCAACCCTCCCCAGGAACCAAGTTTGAGATGTTTCCCCCTTCCTTTTCATTCTTTTCGAGCAGGGGTCCCCAACTTCTGGGCCGGGGCCTATTTGGAACCAGGCTCCACGAGAGACGGGCCACTGTGCACGTGTGCACAGCTCAACTTGTGCAAGCGGTGGGCCCCGCCCACACGGGCATGCTGCACATGGGCACGCACATGCCATTCACCTGGCCCAGTTTCCCCTCCCAGCCAGGCTTACCAAGCTGCAAAGTTTGGGGGACCGCTGTTTTAGAGGGGCTTTGGGCAAGTAAGAGGGCTGCACCAGTGGTGAAATTCAGGTTTTTTTACTACTGGTTCTGTGGGTGTGGCTTGGTGGGCGTGGTGTGGCTTGGTGGGCGTGGCAGGGGAAGGATATAGTAAAATCTCCATCCCCTCTCCACTCCAGGGGAAGGATACTGCAAAATCCC